GAATGTTGATTGTTTTTTGTTTTATATAAAAATTTAATTTTTTGTTTAATTGAATTTTTTTAATTCGTAATTTATATTTTCAATTGTTATTTTCATTTCTGTATAAATTTATGTCAGCTGTAAATTTTGTGTATATACCTATATGACAAAGAGAAATTGAAATTATAAGTAATATAGTTAAGACACGATTATTTAATTATGCTTCTAATCATTTCCTCGCTATTTCTCATTATATTAATCTCCATGTTTCTGCATCTCTATCGCTCATGTATATCTTTTCTTTATACTGCGATTGCAAATGTAATAGCACATTGCACGACTGCACATTAATTCGTAGCAAAACATTGAAAATTTATTACTTTGCGTGAGAATCACAAAACTTATAACACGCCCTCATATACTATACAATTTCTTTATTGACGTTTTGTGTATATACAGCATATATAATATTCAATTATGCACTTTCAATGTTCAACATGTATATATATATATATATATATATATATATATATATGTGCGTTGGTTTTGCTTTATTGAGTTGACACTACTTTATCGATTTAATTAGGCATTAAATCCTGTCGACTGTCCTGTTATGTTTACACACATATTCTTTTCAATTTTTATATACATACATCGTTATGTTTATTTATTGATATAATCATTTTTAATTTTATACATATATCATTAAGTAAATTTTTTTGCATTTTCAATTTTGATTTTGATATTACAAACAATTTTCACTCTAAATTAAAAATTTAGTATTTATTATTATTCTGAATTTATAATATAAAAATTATATAATAATTATGAGGAATACGTTGAAAGTCAACAATATTCGTGTGTGGTCAAAGGAACAGAAGTGAAAATCCATTATTGTGCAGAGGTGGTCCAGAAGCTGGGGTGGGATGGGAGTCAGATTAGCCCATAGTTTGTGATGATCATTCGTCAATCACAATCATAAAAATTTGTGTTCGTCGTGTATATTGTCTTCGCATGTCAGGACAACACGCGAGAAGACATTTCTGTCAGTTGTACAACGATAAGAAGCGATTAAGCGTCTGATTTACACGCCAACTGTCTGTGTCACGCTGGTAATATATACTTACACCATCGTATATAAGTGTGCCTTGAAATGTATACACGTCAAAGCACATACAAATACAAATACACATATCAAGTGTATTTGTTATTTACACGTAGCAAAATTGATTATATCAATTACAATCTGTGTGTGCTGTAGAGTACATATATATATGACACTGTGAATTGATTGAATCGTTTGCAATAATCACTTTTTATATTTAAATATGGATTGCAGCAATTAAAATTCATAATTTAGACAGCGCGGAATCAGGGTTTGGATTATAAATATTAGTAATAATTGTTTATTAAACCAAATAAATATTGTTGGAATATTCTATTAAATATTCTTATAGATGATATTTAAATGGTTCTAATAACATATAGTCATAATTTCAGATTGTACGATGTACATTTAATGATCTAAATACTAAATGGGTTTTATAGAATTTAAAATCAAAATTATAAATGATATACTAAACGGTGTGTATCATTTATAACCTGATACTAAAATGAATTGTATCAATTGCAACAAATATTATTTGAATGGTATATGCCACATGTTAGTGAATTTAAATTTTAGACATACAGATTATATATACACTCTAAATCTGAATCAGTGAATATTTCAGTGGTTTCAATTCAGTGGACGAGTTTTCCTTGATGAATCAGTGGAATTTCATTGACAATCAGTGGTTTTGACTAATTCTCAGTGAAATTTTACTGATGAATTGAAGAAAACTCGTCCACTGAATTGAGATCAGTGAAATTTTCATTGATTTAGATTTAGAATGATACTATTCATAATAAATGTTCTTTAAATTAATACAAAATGTTTTTTATATCAAAATGATGGTATGGCACTAAATGATGTTATTCTAAATTGAAGAATATAAATTGATTGTACCGTTAAAATCAGTACTATAGTACCATTTGTAAAACCAAATGAATTATATTGTATAGATATGATTAAATTACACATGAATATTTATATGGTACATTATAATGAAAACCTACATAATGTATACACAAATACAAAAGTATTTCTTAAAAAAAAAAAATGTGTGTATATATAACTGAAAAAAGAGTTTACAAAAAAGATTATTTCGTACAGTACACGCACACGAAACGACTATGGTTGATTTACGTTTAGCGCACTACACCACCTCCACTAATGTACATACACGCAGCTCTTTTAATTGTGTGTATATTTAGTATCGATCAGGTATGCAAGACATACAAGTTCTTCCAACAGTCATCTTTCTACTATGTCGAGCAATCAAACCATATATATTAATTGATCAATTTTTGTAATCATTAAGTCTCCATAGTCAGATAAATCAATTCATATATATATATATATATATATATATATATATATGCTCATCACTTTAAATCCCTATATTTACATTTACAAGAAATATTATTTTTTTTATAATCTGTTGAGAATCACTTTATATATACATAATATATCACGAGAGACGCAAAAAAGAAGATTAATTTATCATTATATGAATAAATGTTCGATGATAATTAAATTCGATGAGATTCTTTTTTTTATTATTATTTTCGCGCAACAAAAATGAAAACATTGTAAGTTTTGTAAAACGTAATTAAATTCTCAATTTCCTATACAAATATATACACAAGAGGTATAACTTAGTCTTTAACCTTTTGGAATTTAAAAAAAAAATTATATAAAATTAAATCTGCATCGAAAAGTGTTTTTTTATTGAAATGTCGCGTTTTTTTTGAAGAATATAATAATTATATTGTATACATATATTTGTTAATTAGAAATGCATATTCTTAAAGGTTTTATTGCAAAAATCTTACGAAAGATTAATCTGGCCATTTATTGCATTATTATAAAATCTCTTAATATTCTGCCAATTTATCATCATTTTCTTTCTGATTGAAAGGGCTTATAATTCTGATCAAAGGGTTTAAATTTAATTTCTATAACTGATAAAAAGAGACTTTTATTTTCCTTTATATTTTTACAAGAAATTTTTGTCCTTTTACAATGGAATTAATTTTTTTTCCCATTATTAGTAAATTATTGTTTATTTCATATTTAAATATTTTATCTTTCATTTTATATTATTGAAAATTATTACTGTGATTAAATCCTTTTTTTGTAATTAATTAACGTGACACAATTAAATTCATTGCTTACTACTATATTAACAGGTATAATTATATCGACAAAAGTTGTTAACTGTTCAATTTCCCATTCGCTATATATTAAAATTTTCACATTCAATTTCCGATAATCTAATCTTCATAGCTCATAAAGATCTTTGCAATTTATACAGCGAGAAATACAAAATATTAATTGCATGCGACCACTGCCCTATATTTAACTTCTATGTAGCAAAACAGTTTATTTCATTTGTACATAAATGAATAGTAATTAGGTTTTATCTCTGTAATTAGTCTTATATAGTGTTAAGACTCTATTTTGCATAATTAGTTTAATTCTCATCTCTCTCTGTCACACACAGATACATGTGTGTAACAAATCAAAAAAAAATTTTTAAATGCTAATTTCTTTTTCTATTCAAAATAAATATATTCGAGTCGAATTTCCAAGTCAATATAGTTTATTTCGATAAAAATAAATATAAACGTTGACAAAGCTATATTCTGTTTAACAATTAACAAACTGTCTGGGACAAATTGGTCAAGCATTATTTATTACTTTGTCTCTTAATAATTATTTAACTTGCATTATTTATTAGTTATAACTCTACAATATTACGATCGTTCATTAAGGTCACATTTTTTTCGTCACTTTAATAATATTCTCACTTTTAAATGATGTGTTTCTCTTGTAATGAGCAACTTATGTAACTTTTTTTTTCATCTCTTATAGGCTGTTCATATAAACAGAGACTACTACAATCTCTTATTTTTATGTTTCGATTTTTAAAAATTATATCTAAGAAAAATCAATTTTTAGTCAATAATTTTTAAAAATCGAAAACAATTTTTATTTATTTTGTATAAGGAATTTAATTTAGAATTTTAGATTATTGTTTTTTGTTGTTTATAGGTACTTGTGTTGCTATAAGAATCGTATTTATAAGAAACTCCAAGTATTTCGTTTTATACACGCGACTCGACGTGTATAAAGCTAATTATGTACGATTAGCCGCGCTATTACAGCGAATCAAGTTGAATACAACTCACACACTTTGCCATCGTAATTCACAACTAATAGGAAAACTCTTTGCTATAAGGAAACATAAAGAAAACCGAACAATTGTGAGCAAAAATGACTCTTGTTAGAAACAGAGAGAAGAATTACAATTTATAATCTAAATTCTTTTTGAAAAAGGGCGAATTGCCTTGAAATTTATTTTTTTTTTACTCCTTCCTGCACTAATAAATATATCGTAAAAAAAAAAACATACACATAAACTTCCTAACACATTTGAAAAGAAAACATTTTAGATTTTCCCATCGGATTCACGTGATGCGGATAATTATCCACCAATTATATATCGCTATATAGCTGACAAAAATTTATATTCGCGAAGAATCCACGCGGATCCCTGTCTCTCTCTCTCTCTTTCTCTCTCATCGCTAATTATTATAATTGCAGTAGCAGCAGAATGGTAAATATAGCTATAGACCGCGCGCACGGTTAATGGTTGTTTAATGACTAAATTACTTGAGAGTAAACGAGTAAATGCGTTTATTCAACGCGATTGTTTACAAAGAAGTGAACTCGTCACACTTTTGGGTATTTTCGCAATAACTTGTCTACAATTGTCTCGCGCAGTTGAGTGCGAGTAGGATATTCGCGTAATCATCACAATAAAGTGTTGTGTCGTTGCATATATATATATATATATGTAATACAAGATATTCACATGGATAAAATATAAAAAAAAATTTTTTAAAAATCTCACCTGCGTTTCCGTGAGCGATAGTGCTTGTGCCAATTGTTTTCTTTCCGCACCAACCACATAGTGATTTTTCTCAAAGGCGTGCTCCAATTTTAACAATTGACTTGGACTAAATGCCGTTCGTATTCTCTTTGGCTTCCTGTATGCGTGTACCAAAAGTCCTCCAAAATCGGGACCTGAAAAATGTAAAAAAAAAAAAAATATTAAAAAAAGGAATTTAAGATTTATAAAAATCAAGTGTCATATATCCTAATAAAGGATTTTGCAGATATGTGTTAACATTTATATTATATAGTGGTTATTTGTAATAAGAATAGGAAAAGGTACGTGAACAAGGTAATTGAGTATTCCACCAGCGGAAGGTCCCTGTCGATCGTCTGATATAGCGCGTGCCTGCCGGAAGTCGTTTGAGATACTTACCGGAAGGCCACGTATATATACGATAATCCCCATGTGGTCATTACACATATGCGTTTAAAAATATTCACACTAATCTTTTGCAAAAATAATAAAAAGTTCCCTAAAATTGACCCTTGTAGTTTTTTAATACTAGTATTATATGTAAAAGCTTTACGGTATAAAAAGAATCTTGAAAAAAATTTGAAATTATGTTTATGTTTCAATAATGAATAGTTCTATGACTTCGTCATTTAAAATTTCTTTTATCCAAGTTTTAAATTATAAAAATCCTTAAAACATTTCCATTTTGAAAATGTATATATATACGAGTTTCTATTTGTCTTTTCTAAGAGACACCTCTCTTATATATAGAAAGCATCCTTTAATCAAATTGATAAGAACAGAGAGTGAAGAAAAAAAAATCCCAGTTCCTGACAATATAATCATCCACTGAAAGTATTGCTAACATTTGCTGATAACATATATGTATATAGGAATACGAAATTCTCAACACGATTACAAGGCATTAATTTATCGCGCATTAATGAGAATTGACTCTCGTCTCAATTTCTTGAATCTTCATATAAATATATACACGAAGCATCATTCATGATATAGTCTCAGAGGAGTCTTATCGAAAATCATTTATATTAACGTGCCAACATTGCATCGCGTGTGTCACTTAAGATTCATGATATTATAGTACTTATATATATATATAAGCCGCATTACTGCATAAAATTGCGTTTCTAATATATATAACTATTTATGCTTTCTATATAAGAGCTTGATAACAATATGACGAATAATAAGCCAGCAAGTAATTAAATTACTCTCGCGCAATCATATAATAACTATATTAACATAAAAGTTGCATTCAATTTTTTTCAGATTTTAATTTCCTATCATTACATATATATATCGATGTAATTTTTTTTTCATTTATTTCGCTTTTATTTAGTGATTTTTAACATTTTTTTTTTTTTTTAATGGAGAGGGGAAAATAAATATGAGACTATACAGCAGCCAGTATAGTAACTTATATATTATAAAGAGAGGACGTTGTGAAATTCGCGTATATAGAAACGAAATGTGGCCGCGACCTCGCCGTATATTTTATAACGGACATGTGTGTCTTCTGACATGGATATAACGCTCGTAACTTATTCTACCCGGGTACAAGTGCTTTCATAAATACCGGACTTAAAATTCCCTTTAACCTACAAAAACGTGCTAACCTTTAACCTACCGAAACGTAAGAAATGCGGAAGACAAGGTGTAAGTGACTCGCTATACAAACTTGACATTTACGAACTGATAACGGATACGTAAATTAAAAATGTAAAAAGGACTTCTGCATTTAAAAAAAAAAAAAATAAAAGAAATCTAATGTCCATGATTCCTTTTTTTTTATCAATTTTTCTACAGAAAAGCAATTATTTAATCTATCTATAATTGTTAATAATTATTAAAGATAAAAATAAAAGTCTAAAAAAATAATCATAAAAAAAGGAACGAAAGAAAATTTAAAAATGATGAAATATAACATAATAATGTAAGTGTGGTACTCTATTAGCGTTGGAAACACATAAATAATGTATTGGGTTAAAGTGGTTTTGATCCCAAGTAACATTATAATTTCTCCTCTATTTATATTCCTAAGTATTACGTTTTAGAGTAAATTACACGAGTTGTTGAATAAATATTACGTGTATATATATATAGAGAGAGAGAGAGTTTAATAATATTTATATTCTAGCAAAAGGAAAATTATACAGATTCTTCTCCGTGAAAATGCAAACTTTTTCACGGATGGTATAGGATGCATTCTTTTCCATATATCTATTATTCTTTTCAAAATTAATGCAACAGTAGTTGTAGCACGAGTACAACAAATTGTTTTTTAAAAGGCACACACGCGGTTTATGAATTACGATTCGTTGACGCTGTATTTGTGCCAACTATATATATATTTATAAAGTTAGCGTGCAGCTCTTACAAATTGCACTATTCTGATAAAAATGTATGCCGCGCATAGGCCAACATTTTTGTTGTTGTTGTTACCGCTTTTCACATTCTCAGATAACATTATTAAAAAAAAAAAAAAAAAGTAAATAAACTACATTTTACAAAGTATACAATTTCAAAAGTTAATTTTCTCCTCCAAATCTAATATTATTTAAAATTACTCTTATTTTTTTTCATTATTTAATTATCAAATTAAAAAAATTAAGACGCACGAATAATGCCTAAAATTAATTTCATAAAATTTTTATTTGATAGAATTTCATTTGAGATAGAATTTTTGCATTTGTTCGAAATTTCGAATTAACTTCCGTCAGAAAATTGCGCGTGAAGTAAATTGTCGGTTCTATAAAAATTTTGTAATATAGAAAATCGATTTAACGGAAATTTTGTCAAAAAATATAATTCGAGCAAATAAACATTCAGGTAAAAGAAAACTGTATATCTAATAAAATTCTAGGTATATGAAATAAAAATTCTAACAAATTAATTTTAGGCTTTATTCATTCGTCTCTATATAAAACTTTCTCTCCATCTCTTTTTTTTCAAGGCAACACATATTAATCATTATAAATTTCAATAGAAATGAGAAAAAACGTATTTTAATAAAACTAATAGTAAAAATAATATTTCCGAAAGGTTCACATTGAAAGGTCAATAGGCGTTTTCGCTGTTGAGATAAAATTTGATAAATAATCCACGATATAACAGCTGTGAAATTATATATATGTGAATCAATGTGTATAAATATGAACGTATACAATTCAATTTAAATTCGGACTCTGGAAAATATGCTTGATGATATAGGGATACTTTAAAGTTGGGAAAATGATCAGATCGGAATACATATATACATTGTTAGCTATGGACTATTGACTGTCAGTTAAAACTGCTTTGTGGATGAACATCTTATATGGCGCGAGGGTCGAGGAGGTGTATGTATATGTATATATAAACTGCAAAAGCATGGCCGATGAACGTGGTACCGAGATAGATATCTGGATGTGCGGCCATTTGAGATTTTACCCACGAATACCGTCCAATCACGCAGCATAAATCGAGATTCTTCAAAAAGTGGTTCTTCTCATCGATTCTTGAAAGTAATTCTGCTACGATCTCGATATTATTATGAGGAGATCCTGAGAGTTTCTGAAAGATTAGGCTCCCTGCAGTGCACACACAAGTCCCTATATATATATACCCTTTATACACACAAGTCTAGGCGCATCAACAGTTCAACTGCTTCCTAGACTTGGCCTTTAGGCAACACCTCGACTTATATTCCTAGAGAGATGGATATAAAAAGAGGAAGAACTGTAATTACGAGAAGCTTGCGCTACAAATTTCCAGCTGATATGCCCACAGCGATTTCAAATTATAGTCGAAAAAAATCAAGCTTAAATGTATTAAATTACATCGCATGTATATTTATACGGAAAAAAAAGAAGTTATTTCTTCCATTTGCAAAGATTTCAATTTTATTTTTCTTCTTAAGGGTTTACTGTAACATAACCTCAAACTAAAAAATAATTGTTCACAGAACTAAAAATAGATTTAAAATTTATTACACTGAATTTTTAAAGATTTAGTTGTACAATTTTCAAAAAAAAATATATATATTTTTAGTTAAAATTTTATTGATTGTTTTGTTTGTTGTTAAAAACAATTTTTTAGTTTGAGGTTACATTTTAATGCGGGCTAAGAACTCCTTAATAAAAAAGAATATTGTAATTCTCACAAAATATAAAATTTGGTGACAGCGGTGGGATTTTTCACATGCATATTATATGATCTCTCTGACATGGAGAAAATTACAAAGTTATACTTATATATATATATATATGTATACGTGAATTATAATTTTTGATGGAAAAAATTCGAATGTGTTTTATTTCAACGAGAGTGTAATTTGTGTCTAATGTGTTTTTAATTGCTCTCGAAAGGAGAACAAGTTTTATTTGACTCCTACTTCGTTCTTGATAATTCCACTGTAATTGCTGCTCGAGTTAAATTCTAATGCGTATTGAGAAGCGAGTAATAAGCCTCTTTGAGATTCATGAATAAACAGGATATACTCGCAATATATCTAATTTACCGCTTTTCCTTCTCTCACACTTCCGCTTTAGAATTTATACATGCGGAATGTGAAAATTTATTTCGATTCTTGAGAAACTGATTATTTAATGACATTAAGTATAGTTAGAAGATTATTATATCGTTTGGAAAAAGAAGAAAAAATAGAATACACTTAATTTGTTATAATATTAACGATGTTATTTGATGCATCTCTCATTTTTTAGGTAAGAAAAAATTACTGAGAATATAATTTAATAGAAAGAAATTATTTAATAAAAAATTTATAACTGTTACAATAATCGAGAAACATTTAAAAAAGTCAATAAAGTTAATAATTCGAAAAACAAAATTACAAAATATTAATGTTTATAAGAATTTAAGAATTAAAATAATTATTCTCATTTTCTAGTCTCATAACAAAAATGTAATAAAATTAATTTTTTATTAATATAACAGTAACGAATTAATGAAAATTAAGGAAATGAAAAGAATTAATAATTATAAATTGGAGGATAATGAAAATTTTAGCAAGTTAGTAACAATTTATATATTGCTGAGTGAATGAAGTTTAATTCTTGAAAGTGTTTAAGAAAGCGTCTTTGGAGTTCCCCTTTCACAAAACAAGCGTTTTATGAGGGTGCATGTTTAAGGCATAATCGAATCAGCTAATAACGAT